CGGCTCTGGATCCCAGCCAATAAAGGCAAGGAACGCATACCCGGCAAGAAAGGCGAAAGGGCCCATACACGCCCGCAAGAGCGGACCAACCGCTCCCACCCAAAATCTAACTACGAGTTTTTTAACTGCAACAACTTAAATATACGCTATTGGAGCTGGAATTACCGCGGCTGCTGGCACCAGACTTGCCCTCCAATGGATCCTCCTTCAAGGAGTTTAYGACTGTTCTCATTCCAATTACCGGACTCGAAAGARCCCASTATTGTTRTTTATTGTCACTACCTCCCTATGTCAGGAYTGGGTAATTTACGCGCCTGCTGCCTTCCTTGGATGTGGTAGCCATCTCTCAGGCTCCCTCTCYGGAAWCGAACCYYAAKTCTYTGTCACCCGTTACCACCATGGTAGGCCTCTATCCTACCATCGAAAGTTGATAGGGCAGAAATTTGAATGGAACATCGCCGGCTCAAAGGCCATGCGATTCGACAAGTCACCATGATTCGCCGCAACAACGGGCAAGCCCGGATCGGCCTTTTATCCAATAAATACATCCCTTCCACAAGTCGGGATATGCTGAACGTATTAGCTCTAGAATTACCACAGTTATCCGAGTGGTAAGGAGACCACCAAATAAATGATAACTGATTTAATGAGCCATTTGTAATTTATTTATTTTTTTTATCAAAAACCCAGGATTGTTGTAGAGGTCGGAAGCCCAGCCCGGCAGACCAGCCCTCAGTCGCCATCCATTCTGGTTGCGTGGACAGTATATCGGGAACCCTCCCTATGCCCTGGTAGGTCCATCGTGAGTCGAACCTACGGACAGGCTACCGTGTTACCGGTAAGCGTGTATGCATGTTTTCCCTAGCGAGACCCCTAAGACTAGAACCCCCCCTAGGTGCACTCTTACCATAGGCACCCCGAACTTGTCAGGGCTCGACTAGTCCACACACAAGCTGCTTCCCAACTGGCAGACTCACTGGATGTTATCCCTTCTGCCCGATGCAATGTTCCCACCCACCCGCCCCATCCCTCACCCATCCAAGCCTCCATGCAGGAGACTACTGAGGGTCATCTACCACTCTAAGCACAGTCCTAGGGTCTTGTAAGATTGCCGTGAAACCCACCCTAGAGAATCGTAAGTACCAGACCTCATCCCTACTACAACTCTCCGTCCCACACACTCAGCCCCTATAGATAGGCGGACCTCGGGGCAAGGCCCGCTCAAAATATGTGTAGGGCCCTGATCAACAGATTCGATCCCTTCCCCCTCAGTCTGCGGGTATCAAGAGGTCCCTAACAGACGGGAAACTCCCAAGTAGTACCCAGACTCTGGTAGAGGCTTGTCTGTGGTAATCCCCCCAGCGAGGCTGACGGATAGAATCCCCGACCTCGACCCTGTACACCCCCCAACCCATCCCCCCATGGGCTCAGCCATTCGCAGTTTCACAGTGCAAAGTGTTCACACTTAGACGTGCATGGCTAATTAATCTGTACGCCTGTACTCAACTATGATATAAATTAAAGTGTAGTCATTTACTCAAAATTTGCAAATTTCACATATCCCCATAGTGATTCTGGCACTGACGGCATTGCAAGAAGGGGGCGACTTTCCAATTCTGGAACGATGCAAATATTTACAATTTAGCGTCGTCTGTTTCACATTTATTGTCAGTTAATGATAAATTAAAATGTCTTCATTCTTAGGGGAAATGACGTATGAAAATGACTGAATTTCACGTGGATGATCACTGCAAATGTTCGCTCGGGTGCTCACTACATGCATCACAGAATAGGTGGTCTATTGTGTCGGCCTCATAAAAGAATGCCACAAACTTTTAGAGTGTTGCAATCTCTGTTTCATATTTATTGTCAATTAATGAAAGTGAAAATATATTTCATTCTTATAAAGGCAAGTCCAAAAAATCACTCATCCTCGCTCAGCTGCTCGCTGATAATGTTCACTTGGGCGCTCACCAGGTCCACCACACAATAGGTGGTCCAATTGCTCGGTCCCGTTCCAGAATGCTCCAAACATTTACAGCATTGCAGTCTCTGTTTCACATTTATTGATAGTAAATGGAAGTAAAAATATATTTCATTCTCAGAAAATTAAATCCAGAAAATGACTCATCCTCTTGCGGATGCTCGGTTTGAATTTTCACTTGGATGCTAACTTGGACCACCACACAATGGGTGGTTCAATTGCTTGTTCTCATTCAAGAATATTGCACGCTACCTTTGCA